TACCGAGACGCGCAAACCCAAGCCACCCACCTAACCTACTTATAGAAAACGTGGATATATCTCAGCCGCTGTTGTTGATAATAATCTCTCTAGTGTAGAGAGAGACATTAGTTGAGGGTTGCAGGGAGCGTGTTGCCCGCAGCTTAACAAATGTGTAGGTGCCGGAGGACACGTCGAGGAGTGGAGCAAGTTACCGGCTGCCACCGTTGGAGGCATATATGGGATAGCTAGTTTTAAAAAATATATGTACTTGATATATAGCTACCCAACCACGTGGGCTGGACGGTAGAGCGACGGTCTCGCTTAATGCAGATCGGTGTTCAATCCCCGACCGTCCAAGTGGTTGGGGCACCATTCCTTCCCTCCGTCCCATCCCAAATCCTTATCCCGACCCCTTCTCAGTGTTATATAGTCGTAATAGCTTGGCGCTTATCCTTGATAATTCCTTCCTTGATATATAGCTAGTGGAGACGGAGTTGAATGTATCGAGGGCAAGACGCAGTAAGAGGCTCGCTCCCATTCCGGCCTTGAGAGAGGTAAGATAGGCCATATGTTGCATGTTGGTGGCACTGATATACTGCCGCTCTGGCACTCAGGCTCTCCACAACCACCTTGTTCCTCCTCACCCCCCCCCCTGGCACTCTTGTCCAGTACTGCTCCAACACCACCTCCACGGTCCAGGTAGTTCACGTGACTTTAGTCTGAACAAATCCACAAGTGCCGTGACCAGGATTCGAACCTACGTCCGAGATCATTTGATGCATCACGCTATTGTGACTTTAGTGTGTGTGTGAGGGGGGGGGTGTACTAACCTAATGTGTGTATACTTACCTATCAGTGACAGCGGGGAAGTGAGGTTTAGCTCCTTATTCCCCGCCTACCGGCCTTGTTGTACCACCTGTTGCGTTATAATTTAACAATTCAGACGTTCGAATTCCTTGTCGAATCTGGCCGTAAAGTTATGAATGGAGGTGGCTTTCACAACCTCTTTCCGGGCACTACACGTGTTGACCGCCCGTACAGGGCACCTCTAAATGCCCCCACAGGGTACGGCCATTTCCTTAATTTGTTCTTAGACTCGTTTGTGTTTCCAGCTCTCACCTGTGTCCTTTCGACCTACTTTCTCATAATTTAAGAAAGCTGTCCAGGACAACAGTGAAAGGGGAGGGGAGGAGGGGAGGGGGAAGCATGGGGGGGGGGTAATTAGAGGACTTGGACGAGTAGGATCTAAGACCTGAGGAAGGTATGTAATCCTTTGTCATCACTACTCTAGGAACCCAACCTAACGAAAATAAGAGATAAAAGGTTATGTTTTACACGAGGTGGGACGCCACTATATGATGTCACTCTTCATCCTGGCACAGGTTTTAAATCCTACTGGTCTGGTCTGGACGGACACACACACACACACACACACACACACACACACACACACACACACACACACACACACACACACACACACACACACACACACACCCTCCCCCCCGGGTATCACCACACCAGGTCGCCATACCAAGAAATCTGAACAGCGGGATTATCCGTTAGCATGAGCCCGTAAATTGCTAGAGAGCGTTAAGTATCTTTCTCCGCAGCAAGACGGTGAGAGGTGAGGTAGCCGGTACAGCAAGACGGTGAGAGGTGAGGTAGCCGGTACAGCAAGACGGTGAGGTAGCCGGTACAGATGTCCGTCGTCAGTTACCGGACGCAGCGCAGAGCCGTTGTCGACCCCGGGTCAGTGAGGGCAGGTGGCTGGCATTCCTCCGCCTCACCTGTGGGAGGAGTGGTCCCGGGGGTGTGGGCACGACCCCAACGAGGTAGGGCGGGAAAAATAGGATCGTTGGCGACCTTGGAGTTGGGGGTTGTACCGTGTTGTGGGGCTGCTGCCTCTCCTGCAGGCGAGGGACTCCTCTGGACCATGATAAAGTGCACTACTAATCAATACAGTGCACCGCAATGAGCCATATTACAAGGGCGTGGGGGGGGGTAATTAATGTTGTAACAAGCGTACAACTGTTAACAAAATGTTAAAACAAGTTGAGAAGGAAAAGCTTGTAAACAAATAACGTTGTTTTGGCACTTGTGCCCACAGGTGGCGTGAGTATTGGTCACCTGTTATGTTGTTATATATTCAGCTACTCGAAACAAGTTCCAAGTAGCACGGGCTATGGTGAGCCCGTAGTGGACTTACCTGGCACTGGAGCGGTGCCCCGTATTGGTCATCATAACGTACGAAATAAAGCATACTAGTTGAGAGGGCGGGTTGCCGACTGGTGTATTAATACTTGTGTCGTGCGAAAAGCGACGTTCTATGTAAGAGGACGGGTGGCATATTACCCCGTGCTAGTTTTGTTAGTTCAGCATAACAACGCTTCTGCTGACAGGTGTGTGTGTGTGTGTGTGTGTGTGTGTGTGTGTGTGTGTGTGTGTGTGTGTGTGTGTGTGTGTGTGCGTGTGCGTGTGCATTCACTCCTGTAGGCAGGTGTGTGGGTTTATGACCTCGGGCCAGATTCACGAAGCAGTTACGCAAGTACTTACGAACGTGTCCATCTTTCCTCAATCTTTGACGGCTTTGGTTACATTTATTAAACAGTTTACAAGCATAAACTTGCCAATCAACTGTGTTGTTATTGTTATAAACAGCCTCCTGGTGCTTCGGAGCTCATTAACTGTTTAATAATTGTAAACAAAGCCGCCAAAGATTGAGAAAAGATGTACAGGTTCGTAAGTGCTTGCGTAACTGCTTCGTGAATCTGGTCCCAGTACCAGAATGAGCAACAATGATCAGAAAACACCAAATTGAGATAGAAAATAATGTGAATCTTAACGAATATACTTATCTTGTTGCCACGTACAGGCGACCGTGTGTGTGGCTGGTGAACATAACAGCTTTCACTAGATACTGCTACAACAATCACATGTAGTTATAATACCTAATGACATAAACACACAAGTCAACTCGGTACTTATCCCAGTATAGGATCCAGACCGAATTTGCCTGTTATAAGTCAATAAACAATGGGCAACATTGCGTGCCTCCCAGTGTGCGTGTGCGTGTGTGTGTGTGTGTGTGTGTGTGTGTGTGTGTGTGTGTTTACTAGTTGTGTTTACTAGTTGTGTTTTTACGGGGGTTGAGCTTTGCTCTTTCGGCCCGCCTCTCAACTGTTTACTAACTATTTTTTTTTTCCACACCACACACACACACCCCAGGAAGCAGCCCGTGACAGCTGACTAACTCCCAGGTACCTATTTACTGCTAGGTAACAGGGGCACTTAGGGTGAAAGAAACTTTGCCCATTTGTTTCTGCCTCGTGCGGGAATCGAACCCGCGCCACAGAATTACGAGCCCTGCGCGCTATCCACCAGGCTACGAGGCCCCCCAAATGATGTGTGTGTGTGTGTGTGTGTGTGTGTGTGTGTGTGTGTGTGTGTGTGTGTGTGTGTGTGTGTGTGTGTGTGTGTGTGTGTGTGTGTGTGTCTTTTTATAGCCACGAGAGATTTTTAATCCAGTCTTCATCAAGAGGTGATTCACATTTTGAATTCTCGGTAAACAAGATGACGTCATTAGTAAACAAAGCTGCTTGCTTTGGAGGCCAAACACCCCTCCCCCCCTCCTCCCCCCCCCCCCCCGCTCCCAGTGGTGGGGAGATGAAGCCTCATGAGAAATGAGAGAGGAGGAGGAGGAGGAAGATGGAGAGACAAACATCAAGACGACGTAAATTTTGTGAGAGGGGGGGGGAGGGGTGTGAGGGGTGAGGGAGAGGGTAGCTGGCGCGGTTATCTCGAGTCGTCCAGATATTTTAAGGTTGTGTACTCTTTATCTGTTATCTTGGTGGATCCTTTCTCAGCCCCGGGGCTACAGCAGTGTGTCCTGCCTCAGTGTAGCCTGCCTCGGTGTAGTGTCCTGCCTCAGTGTAGCGTGTTTGTGAGTGGTGTAGGGAGGGGGGGGACTATCAGAGGGGGGGGGCGGCTGTGGATGGGGGCCATAAACAGACGGAGCCAACCAGAAAGCAGCGCCTGGCGTGATAGTGGCCAGATTACTAACATGTAGCAGTTGCTGCTCACTTTGCCTTAAAATGTAGCAGTTGCTGCTCACTTTGCCCTAAAATGTAGCAGTTGCTGCTCACTTTGCCTTAAAATGTAGCAGTTGCTGCTCACTTTGCCCTAAAATGTAGCAGTTGCTGCTCACTTTGCCTTAAAATGTAGCAGTTGCTGCTGCTCCCTTTGCCCTAAAATGTAGCAGTTGCTGCTCACTTTGCCTTAAAATGTAGCAGTTGCTGCTCACTTTGCCCTAAAATGTAGCAGTTGCTGCTCACTTTACCCTAAAATGTAGCAGTTGCTGCTCACTTTACCCTAAAATGTAGCAGTTGCTGCTCACTTTACCCTAAAATGTAGCAGTTGCTGCTCACTTTACCCTAAAATGTTGCAGAATCTGTGGTGAGAGTGATGGACACCGCCTTGACCACTATCTACGTGAATGTGAACACCTGAGAGACATTAGGAATAACTGTAGAATAATAAACCCCACATTGTTTGAGTTAGGAAAACACTATTTGTCAAATATTGATACTGTTCTTAAAAGATTTCCCCATTTTGCACCCGCAAGATAACGTAAGCTTTTAAGGGTTGATAAATGTTAATCTTCTTGTTTGAGGAGCTGTTCACTTGAGACAGTTAAGCAAGTCCCAGCTGTGTCTGGGTACAAGTGACAGGATGAACAACCCAGCGGGTTTTCGTCCTATTGGGGAGTGTTGTACATTCTGCTATGGCGGTATGTTCACTCACAAGATGAGTGGCGCTGCCCAATAAACTCGCCCCTCGGGGCAAAATTTAAATTTAATGTAGCAGTTGCTACAGACTTTACCCCAAAATACAGCCACCACCGCTCACAGCTCCGTCACAGTACTGAACAGACCAACTCTACTCTTCCCCCCCCCCCCACTTCGCCCACCCAAATAGTTGTAAATGTTCTTTGTAATGAAATATTTTCTCCGTTCCAGGTAGTGTGGCGGTGTTGGCGTGACCTACAGCCAGCTGCTTGTTACGATGAGGCGCGAGGGTCGTTCACGTGGTGCCTGCGAGGTGTCAATGGTCAGTTGACTGGTTTAGATCAGCAGGTGAAGGGTGGCATTCAATGTCAGGTTGGTCATTGTTTTGACTACTACATTGTTTAACCCAGGATGTAAATATTACCTTTTTGATACGCTTCAGAGTTGAGTCAGGTTTTGATAATCTACACTTGTAGAGTGTGACCTCCTTAGTTTACCTTGTAGACTATGACCTACCCCCCAAGTTTACACTCAAGCCCCCATATTGTACCTGGGGTGGGGTTCTGGGAGTTCCTCTACTTCCCAAGCCCGGCCCGGGGTCAGGTTTGATTACATAATGTCTTACAAAAGACGAAACAGCATTTGCAGGCTGAGGCGGAAGGTGGCGGGGTTTAATAGTGCACGTCAAGTCTTTGTGTGCACTTGGAAAGTGGTTTATAAGTGTCACGGCTCGCCTCCACACCAAACTTTCAACCCTTGGTCACCGAAAAGCTGATTTTTAAGGTTCCGATCGAAATGCTGTTGTTTATCTGTTCATATACAAGACGATACAATGGGTTCTTGGGAAGGGGCAGGTCACAGGTCAGTGATGGAGAACATTCTTGCGTAGCCGTCAACGCCCACACCCCGTCTCTCAGGTCCTTAAGCTAACCACTAAGCGTAATGATGGGTATTGGGTAACAAGCTGAGTGTAGGCGATGAGTCACAATAACGTGGCTGAAATATGTGGACCATTCTCAATAGACTTGAGAATGGTCCAGGACGGACTGAAACGTCGTCGTCCCTTCACTTTCTAGTGTGTGGTCTGGTCAACGTAAGTCTGAATTCGTATGATGACTAACTTCAGTAGAGATGAAATAAGATTATAGGGATGAAGTTACCATTGTTTACATTGTAATATACTGAGTGAGTGAGTAGCACAAGATACTGAGAGATGATAGCACAATGTGGGATACTGTGAAGATGGAATTAGATAATTCATAGTTCTACTTTTGAATAAAGTACAAGTTGGACAGATTTCATTAAGAAGCGAGTTCCATATATTGGGTCTTTTTTATTTGCTTGGAGTGTTTGCATAGATTTAGTCTGACTCTGAGGATATCGGAGATTTATTTCTGGTATGATGCTCATGGGTTCTACTGCGTCTATCAAGGAAAAGTTTCAGAACAGGATTAGTATTTAGGAATAACGTTTTACAAGTATAAATAGCACAAGAGAATGTGTGAAATGAGTTTGTTTAGCATGTTTAGGGATTTAAACAGAGGGCTGTGTGTTTTTTGAAGATTGTTAAATCACTATTGCTGTCCCGCCTTGAGTACTGCTCAGTACTCACTTCTCCTTTCAGGACAGGAGAGATTTCTGAAATATCTGGAATACAGAGAACATATACGGCATACATGGACACTATAAAGAGCCTAAATTATTATGACCCTCTTAAAGCTCTCAAAATGTACTCTCTGGAAAGGAGACGAGAGGTATCAAATAATATATACATGGGAGATACTGGAGGGCCAGGTCCCAAATTTGCACAGTAGCATAACAACATACTGGAGCGAAAGATACGGAAGGACATACAGAATAGAACCAATGAGGAGTAGAGGTGCCATAGGCACAATCTGAGAGCACTGAACACCAGAGGTCCACGGCTGTTAGACACCCGCCCAGCAAGCATTGAAAATATTGCTAGAATGTCTTCAAGATACACTTAGACAAGTTCTTGCAAGAAGTTCCGGACAAACCAAGCTGTAGTGGATGTGTGGGCCTGCGGGCCGCCCCAAGCAACAGCCTGTTGGACCAAGTTATCACGCGTCGAGGCTGGCGCTCGCCAGTTCAATTACAACCATTTCGTCAACCGTTTCTGACTTAACATAGACGAGAGGAACAAGGCCGCCACCTTCCATGACTAACACGCGGGCTAGTGGGACCGTTGTGAAGCCCGACTGTTCTTACTCAAGTTTGTTTTGTGCAGTGAGTCCCACCTCTATTATTGTTCAAGGGTGTGCTCCCCGGGCTGGTGCTGGGGAGGAAGAGGGCGGGAGGGAGGAAACACGGGCGAAGATGGCCTTGGTGGGGTGAGTGGGTGTGGGAAGGTTTCCTCCCCGGAGCCCTCATGGTCGCTGGCAGGTGGTCGCCTCCCCGGAGCCCTCATGGTCGCTGGCAGGTGGTCGCCTCGTCTCCTGGTGTTCTTGGAGCACTTGTTGTGTTTGGAATGACTTCTTCCCAAGCGGGCCAGGGGGAGGAGAGAGCGAGCAAGCCCGGCTTGATCTAGAAGGCTGTTGCTGGTAATAAGGCAAAGTAAGTGTAAATAACTGGTGTAAGATATAATGGTTTATAGGTATTAGAATCCGTATGTGAAGGGGAGGGGGGGGGTAGTGTACGCCATACACACACCTTGTGTGCGCTGGAGAGCGTTTACCAGCAGCTTGGTTTCCCTCGGTGAGTAGGTCACTGTTGTCTTGGTGAGCTGGTGGCGCACGCCAGGTGTGTGGTGGGGGGAGTCAGATGTAGGAGGAGCTGTGGGGCGGGGGACACAAGTCTCCAACAACACTAGCTCACTCTGGCGACACTCAGCCGCCTAGATAGTGTGCAAGTATTGCAAAACAACTCCAAGTTTACGTAAATATGCCGCCAATGTGACATTACACCGACCGTCTTGTGAGAACTGTGATGGTTCTCCAGACATGTGTCACGACTGTCCCTCCGTCCCCCAGGCCTGGCGCCATTCCCCGGCGCCAGTCACCAGGCACACGATGCCCCTTGTGTGCCGGGGCCCTGGGCGCCGGTCCTGCTCCACTGACCGTGGGACACTCGCAATATGACGAATTTCCCCTCTGCTTCTGTTGGCCAAGGACACCCCTTGTGCCGTCAGTCGCCCTCCGTCCCCCTCCCTCATCCTTCTTCCCTCCTCCTCACTCCCTCTTTCTCCTCCTCACTCCCTCCTTCTCCTCCTCACGCCCTCCTTCTCTCTTCTATGACTGTGTGAAGGAGTACAGCTTGTGTGCAAGTAAGGATACAGATAACATCGCCAGTGTCCGGACACTTGAAGGATACCATAACATCGCCGGTCTCCAAACAAACATCTGCGATTGGTCAGTTCTCCAGCTGAGTCGGCAACGTGACTGGTTAGATAAGATAAGATTGTCTAGTGGAGAACACTTGACATAGGTGCAGGTAAGGTAAAGTTAAGACTGCTTGAGGTGGCGTGGAGCTAAAGTATGGCGGAGTTTTGTGATCATAAACGGTTTGTTGAACATTTTATGTATTTTATTTATTCATATATACAACAGTTCTTACATTCTTGTAAATCGACTTGACTACCAAGGCGGCGATAAGGAGGACAGAAATTCCCGAGAATTTGTGTAACTGGTTTACATATCCGGTCCATGGTCTGTTAAGCGTTAGGTCTTATCATGGTCAGTGCTACTTGAAATTTCAGATTTTTTTACGAGAGCCTCGTCACATTGACGATTAAAGCAGATAGCACACCCAAGTTTGCTGATAAAAGTAGACGTTTTATTGAAAAATGAGCAGGTGGTAATTTTTTTTAATTAATTTATCAGCGTTCTTTTTTTCTGCAAGGTATGCAAGAGTAAGAGGAACATTATCATGCATTTGCACCACCACACTTCTGGGGCTGAGTGAACTCCCGTAGACCAATTATCTGAGAATTACTGGTATTTTACAACATCTTTAGGTGTCTGAAGAAGCGTTCGATAACTTTAAGTTGAGTGGGTAGCGATTGAGCCTAGTCCAGGGACGAGGCTTCCCTCCCACGCTGCGCCCTACATATTTTCTCTGACAACTCATGCTCTTGTGCTTTCATTATGCTATAAATTCAAATGCCTCGTAGATGGCGTAGACGACGAGGGCTATGCAGAAGTAGAGAATTAGATTAAAATTGAGTGACAGTTGATATTTTATTAATTATTGTCATCGTGATTACTGTTTGTCTTCTGGTTAGCTGATAGAATCATTTTTCCCTGCACTATTTTTCTTGACGGTTGAGGCAGCCTGGTCCTTGTAGGCCTCGTAGATGTAGCAGCAGGCCTAGTTGTAGTGATATTACGGTTGCTGGCAACACTACGGTAATGACATTTTTAGTCATTATCTTGCTTGCTGACCTCTCCTCAACTTCCTCCATTTTCCTCTAAATTATTTTATATTTTTTGTCTTTTCATTATCCTAAGTTTTCTTCTTGGTCATTTCTCAACTTCTTACCTCCTCCCTCCCATCTTCCCCCCTACCCCTCTCCCTCCTCCAACCCTTCCCCTCTCCTCCTCCCTCCCATCTTCCCCCCTACCCCTCTCCCTCCTCCAACCCTTCCCCTCTCTTCCTCCCTCCCATCTTCCCCCCTACCCCTCCCCCCCCTACCCTTCCCCTCTCTTCCTCCCTCCCATCTTCCCCCCTACCCCTCTCCCTCCTCCATCCCTTCCCCTCTCTTCCTCCCTCCCATCTTCCCCCCTACCCCTCTCCCTCCTCCATCCCTTCCCCTCTCTTCCTCCCTCCCACAAACGACCTTGCTCTGGGAGGTGGTGTGGGGGGGGGGGCGTCATGCAGGTGCTCATTAACGAGGTGTCTCACCTTGATGTCACCTGCGGCTGTAGCCAATACCAGGTGGTGTGGCTGCACTCACCTGTTCCCAGGTGAACGTTCGTCTACTCTACGACGTTATGATTGCCTTGACCTGCTTGTTAGCCTAGTAGCTATAAACTCACTCGCTGAGAGAGAACCCAGGGAGAATCAACTGGGAACCAATCCAGAATTGTTGCCTCTATTCACCCAGTAGTAATATCGGACCTGGCAGTAATACAGTTTGGCGGGTCGTGTTCCAGGGAGAACTTGCAGGGGTGAGGCCTTGAGCTTTGGCAAGGGACAGCCGTCAGTCCGCTGACTAGGAGTCACGGCATCTCCTTCTGTGTCCACCTGTTTGAACAAAGAAGACATTGAACAGCAAAAATGGGGAGTAATGTTGCGGTGGCAATTAGGTCCGTGACGCCTGGATATGAATTAGTAAGGGCTTTACTTAATTATAAGTGTGCGTGTGTGTGGTCAACAGCCTGGTTGACCAGTCCAGCAACGAGGAGGCCTGGTCG